ATTGGTTTAAAAGTCAATTGTTATTTGTCCAAATTCGAGTTTTTTTTATGCTGCTAATTTTTTATAAAAATTACTTCACATGAGTGTTGGGCATTGAAATAAATCTCAAATATGAGTGTTTAAACAAAATAATAGTGCCTATTTTTTTTAATATAGTTTTGCCCAGAAGGTAAACTAAAAGCACTAATTTTCCTTTGTCACCCCCCTTGGCCTATGCATGCCATCGATTATGAATATTTGATCAAAAAATATCCATAGACCCTAAGTCAATCCCTGAAGGATCGCCATTAGTCTATAATAAATAAATTATTATGATCCCTTAATGCATAGAATGCATGATCCGAGCAGTTAATTTTTGGTCATTCAGAAAGTCAGTTATTGATTTTTCACTTCTCGAAATTTTACTTCCCAGATGTTACCTTTTGGATGGTAGATGAATATGTGCCATTATATGCTCACTAAAGAGTTGCTAATAGAGTTATCTATTTATTATCTCAGTTGATTTTGATGGTTTAAATGATATTGAAATACATAAAGAGTTTAATGATATTAGCTCATGCATAAAGATCGAGTTTTTTTTTTTTTTAAATGAAAGACTTGGGAAACCAAATATTGTCTCGACCTGCAAATCGAGTATCTCCCTAAAGGAATTTTACAAACTAGTTAGCCTACGTTGAAAAATGTCTTGAAGATATTTTATATATATGGATAAGTATCATTTACTTATCACACTAATGGTTGTCAAATCTCTTGAAGTATATAAGGAACTGTTTAGACTCAAAGAGGATAATGAAGATACATTATGACCAAATTTCTATTATTTCATTGTCATTGGAGCATCACTTTAGACCAGAAGTTCTATAATCGCAACAGGTCTAATTTTTGGGATGAAATTGCTAGCAACATGTAGCGCTCATCCTACAATGAAATATTGGAATATGGCTAATAAGTACCAAAAGATGCTAATTTAAGGGTCAATTTGGGGACATTCTATGCTTATTTAGGATCACTTGTGCTTGATTTATGAAGAAAAAGCTATGAAATGTTGTTTATGCATTGCAAAGTCCTCTAACTTGTGCATTCTAGTGCTTTGAATAACCCTTGGGCAAGAGGAGTAGCATAGGAGCTTAAAACGGAGCAACCTTGGAAGAGTACGGGAAGAGGGAGCAGCAGACCTGTTGGGAAAAATCCCACTTCCTGTGACAATAAAAATCACAAACCCGACACGGCGCACAAATACGATATAAACCCAATAAGCCAAAAATAAATGTCAAACACAAGAACACTCGATTTACGTGGAAAACCCCAAAATCACGGGGAAAAACCACGGGACCACCACCAACAACTATTCCACTATAATAAAACTTGGGTACAAAGTTTCAGGCTACCACACGAGCCAAACATCCACAAATCATCAAATACAATAACTTTAGGCCAAAGACTTCTATTATGTTCCACAGGCTAAAAAGGAATACTAACTCGTACTGAAAATATTCAACCACCACGAGAGATGAAAAGAATACAAATATGTTACGAGAATACCCAAATGATGCATGGAACAAACAAGCTGACCTCTCAAAAGTGTTTGATGAAAATACCACCCAAGAACATCGAAACCTCGGCAAGAACCTGGGCAAACCTCTCGGTAAATCTATCAAACGAACCTCTCGGTAAATCTATCAAACGTGTCACAAAACCTGTCGTCATGTCGCTGAAAGTAGTGGAGAATGTCCTCATAGGACTGGCCAAGTCTGGCTAGTCGGTCAAGTATCTCTGCCTGAATATCACATATATATAGATTGATGAATGAAAGAAAAGGGAATTGAGTTTCTTTTTTCACAATTTAGCAAATTGGTTTCCTAACCATTCTACCTTCCAACATTCACAATCCCTAATCCCTAATTATATAAATTGGTTTCCTTTTGTTGTGCTGCTGCCGCCTCAACCTTACATCATTCTACCGCCACTTTCTATGTAATCCCTAATATTATATATATATATATATATATATATATATATATATATATATATATATATATATATATATATGTGTGTGTGTGTGTGTGTGTGTGTGTGTGTGTGTGTGTGTGTGTGTGTGTGTGTGTGTGTGTGTGTGTGTGTGTGTGTATGTGTGTGTGTGTGTGTGTGTGTGTGTGTGTGTGTGTGTATGTATGAGGGCTCAAGATGAGAAGATATCCAACCAAAATATAGTGGATACAATAAAGGATTGGTCTAAACTAGACTATTTACCACATAGAAGGGATGTCCAACCCAACAAGACCACGATCGTGGTGGAGGGCGTGGCCAAATACTTAGGACTGCCACGTAGCTCACCATGATCGTGGCGAGCGCCTAGCGACATAAGTGGCACCGACCATAATCGTGGCAGCGGGCGTGAAGAAATTTTGGCGTGGGAATATTCTTTAAATCCTAGATTTTTTAGTTGTAGAAGCTTTTGATCATTTTTCAGATTTTACTTTCTCTCTCTAGATATTTTAGCTCTCACAACTCTTTCTAAGCTAAAGGAGAAAGAGGAAGATCTAGGTTGAAGGCTTGAGACACCTTGAAATCTAGAGCTAGTTCTTCTCAACTTTGATGATTGTAATCTTCCTTTGATTGAAGTTTGGTAACAATTCCATTTTAATCTTTCAATTTCGTTCTCTTGCAATGCTATTCTTCGATTTTAGATTTTTGCAATCCAAGATCATGTGTGGCTAAATATCTAGGGTTAGGATTGCTACTTTGTTGCAATGATGTTAATTAGTGTGAATTGATTGGAATGATGGAGTGTGATTGTTGGGATTGTGTTTATTTCATGTTGTGATAGATGTATTGTATTGTGTTCTTGGAGTGGGGTTCAACTTCTTGAATAGTGTAGGATTCCTAATCTTAGGCAAGAGATGTCTAAGGTTAGGATAGCCTTGTAGTCCAATCACAATCCCCGCCTTAAATCCAAGAGGGCGTAGCCTTGGAAAGAATGTAGGTTAAATGTTTGATAAATTGCCTCATAGAGATTGTGGACACTCGGGTGCCATATTCATCTATGATAGGCCGTAGAGGCCAAAATGGCTATGGCGAATTGCGAAACACTCCTCTTGAAAACACAATCCTCATAACCTCATCACACTCCTATCTTATACACTAAGGCACATTGCAACGAAGGGGAAATCCTCCGCCCGTTCTTCTTTATTTGATTTCTACTTGTGCACTCTCTTTTACTTTTGCTCTCAATCTACTTTCAAACAATGCTCCTCTTGAAACTTGTATGTGATAAGCTTGAATCCCCTCACTAGCATCATCTCCGTGCTTCCAAATTTACCATTTACCATCCTTTGAGAACAACACTCGGGGATTCAATCTTCATTTACTTCTTACCATCCAATACAACACTCACACAAAACTACATTTTCAAGGGTTTAACATATCTTCTAGTATCTTCGAGATACAAAGATTTTGACATTTATTTTAGAAACGAATATGTCATTTAGATAGGCTATTCAGGTACTAGCTATATTGTTTGATTCCCATAATGCCAAGTCCTGAACTAGTTATGCTATGATTTTACCCCCAATGTTTTATTTGAAGACAGCAAAGCTTGTGTTGCACAAATGATAAAAATGTGTATGTTTAAGAATATTTGACAGAGCATATATAGTGTCAAAATGCAACTCACGTGAGCTCCAGGAGTCACGAGATTGATATACAGAATGTTTTCCAGAAGAGTTACGAGATTGTTATACAGAATGTCCACTCTAGTGACAATCTTGAATATTGTACCATATTCATTTTCTACACTTCTTTAGGAACAATCTTTTGATTATATTAGAACGTGTAGACTTTGAAAATTGTTATCTATAGGGGGAGTGTCATTCACTTGAATCAATCCTGAAGATTAGACTTGAATCAATCTTGAAGGTTGGACTTGAATAATCCTGAAGATTAGGTCCTGAAGACCAATAATTGTACTCTTTTTCCTTTAATTGAGTTTTGATATTGTTTTCTTAATTAAAGGTTTTTTAACGAGGCAGGTAGTGCAACACATGAATGCATACATATTATATACTCTTTTTCTTAACTAGGTTTTTTCCCACTGGGTTTTTCTAGTGAGATTTTTAACGAGGCATGAATATGATATAGTAATGTCAAAAAGGGGAAAGTTGCATACACTGAATGTTTATGATTTGTTATCCAGAAGATTATACCTGGAAGGCTTATGGTTGTACTCTATTTCCCTTAGCTAATTTTTTTCCCACTGGGTTTTCTTAGCATAAGGTTTTTAGTGAGACAACCCCGCATAATACATATTTTGAAATACATTATGTACTCTTTTTCCCCGGCCTTGACTAGGTTTTTCCCACAGGGTTTTCTTATTAAGGTTTGTAATGAGACATGAATATAGTAAGATAATGGCCAAGGGGGAGTGTTGTAAATATAACCACTTTATGGCCATAATCTCACTATCCATTTGTCTTAGTGTCCCACTACCCCTTTATTTAGTGGGTTAGGTACATTATTATCGGATGTATGTATTGAGAAAATGCAATACTAATGAATGAGAGTTGTGGTCTGCAGTTCCATGAGTAAAAAGTTTTCTTCTCTCCCTTATCTCATTGTTTTCTCCATGTTCTTGACTATTTCACAACAGTTACATACGCCTTTGCCATTTAAAATAATTGCGTATATGGGCATTCGTTTAGGATAATGAATTCCGCCTAACATGTTAAGCAATAATTGCTTATAAACAAGGATAATTTTCTCTTTAAACATATGGATTCATGCATAGGGTTTAAGGATTAATCAGCTGTTCAAACACATCTAATTTATCCACACTAAATTTAAATTTGAATATTTTACTTTCTTATATATTCCTTCTCAAAACACAAATACACTCACTCACTCATTATCCCCCCCCCCCCCCCCCCTCTCTCTCTCTCTCTCTCTCTCTCTCTCTCTCTCTCTATATATATATATATATATATATATATATATATATATATATATATATATATATATATATACTCCTACATAGTTTACTCCGCATCTTTCTACTTTTCTGACTAGAGTTTACAAAGTTGAAGAAATAAAGTTTCTTCTTCTCCAACTAAAATCTTGACTTGAGTAGATCTAGATTGTCACTTTTGACGTAAGTCGTAACACAAGATTTCTTGAACTGGATGTAAATGTTGAAGTTTTTGTCTCTCTTCTCCTTGATCACTGGTCACGAATACTTGAAAACTGAAAGCTTTATCGCACTTAAATTTCTTAAAAGACCAGCACCTTCTTCAATTAATGAAGAGGGTATTTAGAGGCAAGGAGAAAATAGTTTAGTTGGGGAGAAAACTATTTTCAAAAATCCTACAGACCAACGTGTAGAGACCAGCGGGTAATCTGGAGGGTATGTGAGTTGTCAGATTTTCTAGCTGTTGAATACTCAAAAAGTATTGAACACTTACTTTTTGTTCGGCAAAAAAAGACAGACATTTAATGGAAAATCATCCATGGGATATGTTCCTAGGATTCACTCTTTCTTAGGACATATTTCCTCACTTTAAGGTTTCAGACACTTTATGCGCAAAGAATGTTTCTAGTAGTCATACCGAGTTGTTAACTGGGTTAATGCCTCGAAGCTTAGGTTCTCTCAGATACGATGGTTGAATTTACCAATCGTCTCTTAATTCCTCGAATGATCTTTCTTATCACTCGGTCTTGATAATACACAAGAGGTAAACCCTTCCATCATTCGGTGTTTGCAACCTCTCGGTTTTGAAAGTATTCAATTCGCTCTTCGAATTTTTGTCTTCATAGTCATTCGTCTCTGATTACACTTCATCTCGAGCTGGTGAGATATAACCCCTCGGGTTGATCTCGGCTCGTTGTTCTTCTTTTAACAGAGAGTTAACCACTCAGGTTACTCTATGATTCGGTATTGAGACTGTTGCCTCGAGTGTTCGTTCAGATGTTACATTTAAGTCACTCTGGTAACCATTTGGTTAATATTCGAATGGTTGAGCAGACTAACTAAATCAAAAAAATAAAAAGAATTGAGGGGTCTAAACTCCTAAGTCTGGTATCATCAAAATCTGTTACAATGTGTTCCTAACAATTGTAAAATCAACTTATTCGCCCTACAATCTTAAAATAAAATTTTGATGATGAATAAGTCGATAGACTCCACGAAAGATGGAACTATGAATGTTGCTCATGTTGCACATTAAATGATCCGAGCGGCAACAATGTTGCACAATCCAAAATGACGATAAATAGCAACAACGATTAGAGTAATATTTTCATGGAAGATGCACAATCACACGATGGTGTTCCGAAGAATTTTGGTTCACAAACCGGTAAATCAGTGATTAGTGGCATGCAATTGGTGCCTATTGAGATATCTAGTGTTTCGGCTAAAAGCCACGAAAGATCAAGTGGCAACGTGTTCACTACATGGTTCAATGATTGTTGTAGTGTAAACAACTACTTCAACTGTAATCAAGGAAAAGGCAAGAGGAAGCTTTGATTTCTAGAACATTATGAGAAGAAGGTGAGCAGCGACAATGAAGCGAACCGTCATTCTAGTGAAAAGGTTGAAGATAAATTCAATCTTGTTGAACAGGTTGAGGACAACTTCGCTACCGTTAAAGAATGTAGATGATTGGACGAGTGTAACCTAGTTTCTTTAACAGGTACACTCGATGTGCGTATATGGACCACCCTCGAGAAGTGAACGGTTGAAAAATACACGGGTTGAAGGACTACTACGAGAGAAATATTGAAAATTAGTTCCCTATGTATTTACTTTTATTTTTCAATAAATGTTGTAGTATTCTTGTAATATGTTTTTTTTTTATTGAATAAAAACAAATGTGTTCCATTATGTTAATTGAAGCTGGTTGCATGCAAATTATTGAATTAATTTTTGAATGTATAAAAGATTCAATGTTAATGCTTTGTGCATTACGTAGCATTATGTGGAAAATGCTAAAAATGGAATGTAACAAAATGTGTTACATGTTTGAAATCTTGTAAAGGACTTCGGTTCTAATTCATGATTGAATGATAACGATTTCAAGGATAATCAATTTGTCGAAATTGGAAAAGTTATATAATCGTGAGCGTCATAGCTCAAGTATATAGAATATTTTCAATAATATTCTCGATGCGAGTATATAAGCTCATTCAACTAGTTTGAGAATTTGTTAGACTTGATCTTGTTAATTGTGTTAAATTAACCTTATCAAAAATACCAAATTGAGCTAGTATGAAATTTAAAATTGAGACAAAGTGATTGAAATGAAAATAAATCATAAACCACTTGATTTTTCGAGTAGTGGTGTAAATGATTTTCATTGACGAAGAAGTGATACCACTTCTTGGACGTAAGCGAAAAGCGCCAGAAGCACCTCTAGGCCTTGTAACCGAGAAGTAAACGTTCATTCTGGTCACAGGCGAGAGTCTACTTTTCGACCTAGCAGAGCAGTAAGTTGACTTCTTGGGGTCACTGAAAAGTCTTTGTACTTCTCTAAACATAGAGGCTAGACCGTTACTTATAAAATCGGCTTATTCGCCTTATAGGTAATGCATAGCTTTGTTAGTAACGGGATGAACGTTGCATTGGATTATCCACACCAACGACTGAGCCAGCATCACCTTCCAGTTCGTTAATAATGTGAATATCCATGCCCTTCACATCCATAACATCGTACGAGGCAGCGATAGATATCTTGGTTAGAGACGTCGAGAACCACCTTGGCCTTCGCATGATGAGCAATGGTGATGACGTTCTCAATTTTGGTTTGGTTCCTCATTCACTATTATCGGCACTAATAAAATTCGCTTCTATATTATTGAGAAATTAGGTTGATAATGTGAAAATAATAAAATGTTGTGACGTGGTATAACAACTGCCATAGAAGCAAATTTGCCACTACTAGTATAGGCTCACAACAACAGCATCACCCCCGAAGGTTAACACAACAATTCTCGTCTCCGTGCACCCAAAACAGGGATTGGAATATACACATCATACTCTAAATAATAATATGACATAGGAAAGAGACAGACAACCTTGTTTAATTGTCTGAACTAATGAAATTCTTCTTTAAATAAATGAGAACCACAAATCTTTTCATGGTATGTACTTTTCCCAAGAGATTGTACACCTAATAGTAGGATAGAGGTACACCCAATCAAATGGGTACTTCCCCATATGTTTTTACTTTCGAGAACAATCAAATGGATTATAATTTACATCGTAAGGTGGATCATTGACATAAGATTCATTTTTTAATATATTAAATGTTTATTTTTTGTGCATTAAAAGTTCAGTATTTAATAGTATACAAGGTGGACTATGGACTTTCAATATATTAAAAAGAAAAAATCACACTTTTGGTCCCTCAATTGTTACCCAATCTGCAATGTGGTCCCCCACTATCAATTTCATTAAATTAGGCCCCTCAAATCTTTAAACCGTAGTTAATTTGATCCTCCGGTCAGATTTCTCTCAAACCAGGGTTAATATCATGGACATTTTGATAATTTCACAATAACCTTAATTACTCCCAAATTCATTTCAGCCGGATTTGAGCCGGAGAAAAGCGAGGGTACGGTGCTGAAATGAGCAGCTCATCTTTATAAGTGAGGGTATGGTGCTCGCACTTTGCTTCCAATAAGAAGCTTCCGCCGGCGATTGTTCCTCTGACTCGTCGGAGAAATAAAGAACTTTTGAACTTCCGGCAACGTAAGTTTCTTACAGCTTACATTGAAATTTGTTCTAATTTGAAAATTTGTAAAGCGCAGCACCGAAACTGAAGTTGTAACACAAACAATCTGTAACGCAGTTCGGGCACACAACCCTAATCTGCGAGGCACTTCTCAATTTGAGAACTTACCTAAATCCACTAAAAGCTCAATATTTAAAGTACACTGTTTGGAACCTGAGATTACACAATAGAATGATCTTTCCTTCCAAACTATTGAAACCTAAACACATGTACTACTTTCTAGGGGAATTTAGTATCCTATTCTCAAAGACTCTCGTACCTCACAAGATTAATGTTGAATGCTTGAGATCTACAATAAAGAACATCCCCTATTTATAGTAGCTATTCCTAACAGATTCGTGAATAACAAACTATTCCTAATCAAAATAGAACTAGAAAATCTTCAACAACAAATCCCCTTAGAACTAGTATTCTTCAATAACTATTCCTCTTAGTACTGATATTCCTTTATAGAACTGAAATTCTTTTTGCACATAACTTTGACAAAATACTTTGAGTCAACATTCTCCGCCTTTGTCAAATTTTTTGCAAACACCTTGGTCTCTGTCTTTCTCCCCCTTAGTTGATGCCACAGTGGTGTTTGATTGATGGTAGATTAATGACAGGTTAGATCACCATCCCATGTGTAACTTTTATCAGATGATCTTTTCCCCATCATAACACATTCATGTTTTTGGTTGTAGACTTTACAATTCTCTTTGGAAAATTCTACTTTGAGTTCATCATCACACAGTTGACTTATACTGATAAGGTTTGCTTTGAGTCCTTGTACCAAAAAGACTCTTGGTAATCTGGGCAGTCCATGGACATTTAAGGTACCAGTTGCGATAATCTGTCCTTTTCATCCATCTCCAAAAGTGACATGCCCTTCATTTTTGTACTGGATATTCTCAAGATAATGTGGATTTCCTGTCATATGTCTTGAACATCCGCTGTCAAAATACCAAACACTTTGTTCTTGGCTTGTTTCTGAGGTATACGCAACAGCTTGTGTTTGTTCCTTTCTTACCCATACTTTCTCACTGTTATTTTTGCTTTGTACTGCCCAATCTCTGTTGTTTTGTCTGTAATAGAGATCATTTTGTCTTTTGAAGCAGTACGCCTTTATGTGTCCTAATTTGTGGCAGTAATAACATCTTATTCTCCTTCGGTGTTGAAAGTGATGTTGTGACACCTCAGGATTTTCAGAAGAGTGGCTTTCACTGGACGCTGGATTTGGAGATCTAGGCCTTCCATCTAGTGCCTTGATTTCTTGTAACAGTTTGGCCTCTCTGTTTTTAGATTCTAATAATTCATTTTGAGTTTCTTTGAGGCGCTTTTCTTCTCTCTCTTTTTCACCTTTTAGAAACTGATTTTCTTGCATGAGCTCTAGATTCACTTTGATGATTTGTTCCCATTTAGCATGCAATTGGGTATATGACTCTAGCAGTTCTTGCATATCATTTTCGTTTCCGTTGTCATTCTCATGATTTGCGGTGAATGCTACGAAATTAGTGTTGGTGTCTTCTTCACTATCTGAGTCATCGCTTAGTGTTGCCACATATGTTTTGTTCTTCCTTTTAAAGTATGTTGGACATTCTGACTGGATGTGTCCAAACCCTTTGCACTCGTAGCACTGAATTCCTTCAGGTTTTACACTCTCCCTTCCTTTTGAAATAGATTGATTTTGTCCAGTTGGGAAGTTCCCTTGATTGATTGAAGCACTTTTGCTTCTAAATTTGTTGAATTTTTTGAGAACTCTGTTGAAATTCTTTGTTAGGAGAGCAACTGATTGTTCCATGGTTTCAGTATCAATTTCTGGACTCTCTTTCTGCTTTGATTGGAGCGCAATTCATTTGTCATTATTTTTCCCTTTTTGCAGTATCTCAAGCTCATATGTTTGAAGATTTCCCATTAGATCACTGAGTTTGTAGGTGTTTAGATCCTTGTTTTCTTGGATGGCTGTAACCTTTATCATAAATCTCTCAAGTAGGGAACGTAGGACCTTTTTTACGAGCCTAGGTTCGCCTAGGTTAAACGCATCTCCAGCAATCTCTAAAACTTTTGCACTAAACTGTGAGATATCCTCATCTTCTTCCATTTTTAAATTCTCAAACTGTGTTTGTATCATTTGTAGCTTGGATTGCTTAACAGAAGTATTTCCTTCGTGATGATCACATAGTATATCCCAAGCAATTTTAGCTATGCCAGTGGTAGCGATTAGTTTGAAAGTATCTTCACTTACCGCTCCATATATGGCATTCATTGTTTTTGAATTGTAATTATATTCTCTTCGCTCTTCTTCATTCCATTCCGCTTTAGGTTTTTGATTACCTTTATCATCAACTGGATTCTTCCATTTTTTCTCAACGGCTTTCCAAACTCCTTCTCCTTGTGCCAAAATATAGATTTTCATTCTAGCTTTCCAATAGGAGAAATTTGTACCAAAGAGAGCAGGGAGCCTGGTGCTTGACAGTCCTTCTCTGGGAAACTCCATTAGGATCCTGCTAATAATTTAAGCAGTTTGGCTCTGATACCAATTGAAAATTTGTAAAGCGCAGCACCGAAACTGAAGTTGTAACACAAATAATCTGTAACGCAGTTCGGGCAAACAACCCTAATCTGCGAGGCACTTCTCAATTTGAGAACTTGCCTAAATCCACTAAAAGCTCAATATTTAAAGTACACTGTTTGTAACCTGAGATTACACAATAGAATGATCTTTCCTACCAAACTATTGAAACCTAAACACATGTACTACTTTCTAGGGGAATTTAGTATCCTATTCTCAAAGACTCTCGTACCTCACAAGATTAAAGTTGAATGCTTGAGATCTACAATAAAGAACATCCCCTATTTATAGTAGCTATTCCTAACAGATTCGTGAATAACAAACTATTCCTAATCAAAATAGAACTAGAAAATCTTCAACAACAAATCCCCTTAGAACTAGTATTCTTCAATAACTATTCCTCTTAGTACTGATATTCCTTTATAGAACTGAAATTCTTTTTGCACATAACTTTGACAAAATACTTTGAGTCAACATAATTAATCTTTTCCTGGGTTTTTCTTTTTCATTTTCTTTTACTTTGGCATTTGGGTTGCTGTTATGATCCGATTTTTATGGCGAGAAAGAAGAAAAAAAAAAGAAGTGGGTATAATCATTGTAAGCTTAGTATTCCAAATTCGGGTGTTTTCGAGAAAAATTACAAACATGGATTGACTAGTTATTGCCGGTTTTATTTTTGCAGGTTACAAGTTGAGTTCAAAGGTGGAAAGCAGAGATCTTTTTCAAGGTTGCAAGAAAAAATTATTCTTTTTTGTTAAAGTTCTCAATGGTTTTTATTTTTTCTTGTTTTTTCAGATTTGGTCTACGTTTTCTTTGTTTAGGTGTGAAAATGGGAGTGAAAGTTACGATGTGTTTAGATTGGTCAAAACCTTCAGCAGCGCAGTCGCAGTCTTCTTCTCATGCCCACAAGCAGTGAAGGTGGTCTCACATGGCGGTATGTGCATAATATATTGCACAGGTCGGCTCTACTCGGACCCAATCCAATGAGGCTTTTTAGGTCCTTTTCTACTGAGTTGCCGAAACGCAGGCTCTGAGGTTGCAGCGTTTCCTTCCTTCTCCAATCGTCGTAAACGTTTGCCGCGAGAGGTGTCGACGGCGGCGATGGTGAGAAAGCGAAGGCGGTGCAATATCATTAGATCCTTAATGATGACGTCAATCCACGCCATCGCGGTGCTGTTGTCCCCCATGCCGCCGGAGGAGGAGTTAACTCCAATTGCACTACGCCGCTGCCGCAGCCGGTCGCCGTCACTGATAGAGGCGGCGGCTGCATCGCCGCGCCGGCAGCGTTTCTAGCTCTCGAGGGAAGGCCGGAATTGAAATGAATTTGGGGTAAAAGGCGTGGGAGGAGAATGAGGTAACTAATGTTATTGTGAAATTACCAAAATGTGCATGATATTAATCTTGGTTTGAGAGAAATATGACCGGGGTAGGGGTGTTCAATCGGTTAACCGTTCGGTTAATCGAACTGTTTTAACCGAACCGAATTAACCGAAGTTTTTTTTCTTTTAACCGTTAACCGAACCGAAGTTTTCTCTACCGAATTCACCGAACCGAAATTTTTTTCGGTTAACCGATTAACCGAACTTTTTAAAGCTAAAATTTAAAATTCTAAAAATAACACCTAAAATAATAAATCCAATTAAAATAAAATACATATTATAATAAATTCATAACAAAATATACAAAAACATTAATTATAAACTCCAAACATCCATAACTTCAAATTAGTATTTATATTTATATTATTATTTATATATATATTACAAACTTCGGTTAACCGTTCGGTTAATTCGGTTAACTGACCTTTCGAACCGAGTTAACCGTTAACCGAAGTTTTAAAATTCCTTTAACCATTAACCGAATCGAAAAAGTTCGGTTCGAAAATGGTTAACCGAAATTTGTCGGTTCGATCGGTTAACCAAAAATTATCCGAAGTTTGCACACCCCTAACCGGGGGATCAAATTGACTACGATTTAAAGAATTGAAGTACTCAATTTAATGAAATTGACAGTGAGGAACCACATTGCAGATTAGAAAACAATTGAGGGACTAAAAGTGCGATTTTCCCTATTAAAAATGAATATTTATCCTTGGTTCACATTGTAATGTGGACCCTAGTTGATAGTATAATGATTGATACAATACCCAATCATTATACAGTGCACCACGGTGTATTATGTTAAGAGTTTATGTGTATTATGTATTATGTTAGATTATGTGTATTATCTTTTCAAAAAAGAGTATGTGTATTCTGTTATACAATTATGTACGTTCTGTTACAATTATGTACATTCTATTATACAATTATGTACATTCTATTATACAAAGTTAACAGCTAACACGGAAAGCAGAATTTTCAAAAAAGAAGTACAAAACGATGTCGTTTTGTACCAAGGCGCACAATACAATATGCGCCCTGGTGCACGATATAAATTGCCTACAATACCTCAATGGATTGAATATCTATTTAAATGAAATAAGTGGTGAGACTCAAACCCATTAGAGTAAATGGACTGACAAGCCCATGAACTGACGAAATGGGCCGTGTCTCAGTTCGGTTGCAAGCTATAATATCGGAAAAGCTGAGTTAGGATGGACATCTAAAATTGGCCCAATTCGAAAACGGTAATGTATTAAATGCCTGGGCCTATCTGTAGTTTCTAATATGTTGGACGTACTGATCCAACGGACAAGCCCAAATCTAAACCAGAAGCGCAATCTTGGGCCCACTAAAGTAAGGGACAATCCTTCAATCGTTATACCCTGTACCACGGCGCGCATAGCACCGTGCGTCTCGCGCCTCCCAAAAAAAGTCGTTTTGGTAAATTACGCAGAGAGTTGACACAATTATGTGTATTTGTTTTATAAATTATGTGTATTTGTTTATATAATTATATACATTTTTTATACAATCATGTATCTTTTTTTTATACAATTATGTACATTCGAAACAGAAAATTTATGTGTATTATGTTAAGAGTTGATGTTTATTATATTAAAAGTTTATGTATATTATGTATTATGTTAGATTATATGTATTATCTTTTAAAAAAAAGTATGTATATTTTGTTATACAATTATGTACATTCATGTATACAATTATGTGTATTCTAGTATAAAATTATGTACATTTTTAAACATGTGATTTTTTTTTTTAAAGAAAATTAACCGCCAATACAGGATAGCCAAATTTCAAAAAAAAAAAAAAAATTCTAAAATGACGTTATTTTGCATCAGGGCGCACAATGCAATGCGCACCTAGTGCACGATATAAATTGCCGACAATCGTTATGCTTTGGAACCGTGTCCACCTTGCAAAGTGAACACGGTTCTATGTTCATAATTACTGAATGTAATTTTAAGTATATTATCTAAAAATGAATTTTTTAATATATTAAAAATAAACTTTCAATATAATAAAAATAAACATCTATCGGTGTTCCACGATATAATTTCTCAATACGCTCAATTACGTTATATAATAGGTATTGGTAGCCTAACCTATAAAGAAACCCCACAAAGAATTACTTGAGTTTTGACCGAATTGAAGGTGGAGAAGATTTTATAGTGACCAATTGGCAATTAGGTTAAGTTGAAGCACGTTTAAAATATTTGGGCTGGGGTAAGATTAGGGTTTAGGTAGGCATTGAAGCAATAATAAGTGAAGAAGGAGAAAAGGGACAATTGAGGACCAGAAAAGCACTGAAATTCATTGATTGGGAGAAGCAGAGTGAAAGATCACTGCCACACCATAAAAGGCCAGTGTTACAGCTCTTCATGGATTGGCTTCTTGTACAATCACTATGCTTAGTGGGCTCCCCATTCCAGTCCCTCCCCACTCCCCACTCCCCACTTAGCCAAACAAAATTTCAAAATTATTAATACCTTCAATGATTCTCTGAGTATTTAAGTATTACCAGCTATGATCTTAAATTTTTAAATCAACCAAACACAGTCCTCCGAATTTTAAAAATTACCTCACGTGATTCTCTGTTAGTCAATCCATGAAATGTACACAACAATCTTTTTAGATTGTTCTTCTTTGATGAACATTAACTAAGTGGCCATGGTGGGAAGAAGCCGTCTACGGTGCTACACTGACGGCAACTGTGGCCACCACCGATATATATATATATTACAATTAATTATTACAATTAATTTTTTAATATATATATATATATATATATATATATATATATATATATATAATTGATTCATTCAGATATTGCGGATGAGGAAAAAGTAAATATGATATGGTGAAAAATAATATACTTGATGTATAAATAATATACTTGATGCAATTTATAAAATTATAATTGCACAGATATTAATATAATTAGCTAATAATTATTATGGTAATTAAACAAAATATGGATCGTTGAATTTATTTTTATAATAATTACAATTAAATTATTTTTCTTTTTTTCCATATTTATTTTAGTAATAATATAATTACATATATATTACATATCGATTTTTTAAGATTATTGCAGACAAATTAAATGAGTTGATTTTTTTAAAGATAATTACAAAAAAACGAGTCATATATTATTCAATTAATTGAGTAATACTTTTGCATTAATCTTATAATCAAATAAATGTATACTTTCAAATATTTTAATTGTTTTTAATTTTATTATCTAAATATATAATAAAAATTTCTATCCGTGCATCGCACGTTAATTGGACAATTATTTTCTTCAATTCAAGCAACGATAACATCAGAAAATATAATCGATCCAACCCATGTCATCAATTGCACCATATAATAATTGTTGTTCTAGTTTATATAATTGTATGTCGATCCAAATATTTCTTAAAATATTATAACAAATCCATTCTGTGCAATGCAAGGGTGAAAATACTAGTAATTATAATAATTATTATTATAAAGGCAAAATTATCATTTATTATTGAATTCCAATTTCATAGGCTGTGGAATTCCAATTCTAGGGGATCCTAGGAATTGAAGTCCCTTCAACCAAACAATAGAATTGTAAGTTCTATAGAATTGTCTAGGAATGGAGTTACAAATTCATCCTACCAAACGCCCCATAAACTCACGTTTTTCGTCTGATCTCTTACATGAATAATCTGCATGAGATTAGAGTAAAAGAGTGTTTGGATTCAAAAATACTCTAAACCCTCTTACACTGAAATGGTCTCTTACATGAATAATCTAAAAACACTATTTCAGTGTCAACTTAAAAAATCTCAACAATTAAAATCGTGAATCTAGCTAGTATATTCCTATAATTGAGGAACACTGATTTTCCAATTTAAAAATATAAAATAAAATAAAATAAAATAAAATAAAACTGATATGCTTAAAGTACATGGAGCATGGTAGTGAACTTTATTGTTAAAATGGAGACCACAAAGTAACTTGATTACTCACCCCAATATTCTTCTTTTTGTAATCTCTCTGATCTCTATCTCATTTTCTTTATTATAGTGTTTTGAGAGCGACAAATGAATGTTGGAATGGGGGGTGGGGGTGGGGGGGTTAGCAAGAAATATCGTTTTCACACTTGATTACAAAAGTTAATAACTTTGCTCACATTTTGAGAAAGTGAACTCTCACTTTGGTTTCACATTTGGTGGTATCCGCATCCATGGTACCCTCTGCACCAATCATGCACCCTCCTAAAATTAACCCCAAGTATATATATAGTCTGTCATCACCAGTAATAATAACATAAAAAGTTTAAAAAAAAAAAAAAAGTTTACTTGTACATTATAATACAAGAAAGGAATTTTTGTTTTTTATAATATCATGGTAAAAATTCATATG